CTAGAGAAGCAGGAGCTGGAAATGAAATGCCTCCACCTAGAAGTCACACATGACACTTGTACAGGCATTTTCATGGCCCACACAAGTCATGTGACTCTACCTGACTTCAAACAGGACAGGGAGTATAATCCTCTGTATGCCTGAAAGCAGAGAGCACCAGAAATTGGATATTGTGCAACAGTAGTAATGCCTTCCACAAACCTAAACAACCAATTCGTTTTCTTCCTAGGAATAACAAATATACCTATTTACTGGGGAAATGCTTCCTTTTCATCATCTATTAATCTCAATCTCCCTTGACATGGCTCAGCCTTCAGATATTTGCAGGTATATATGTCTAAGTCTAAATCTATCAAACGGATACACTTGACCTTCATTCAAAATAAAATCAGTACTCTAGAAAATAAAAAGTGTCATATATGTAGAAATTACTATTAATATTCTAATAAGGAAGTCTAGTTAGATTTTATTCATTCATTTGTTTATTCAGTTAAAGAAAAAATAAAGAATAGCGATTGAAAATTCAGCACTGAGTGAAAAAGTTTGATAGCCAAGCAGGAAACTTGATCCAGAACAGAGTCTAGGTAGACTCTCAATGATAAGGGTCAAGGAAGGGAAAACAGAGTAAGTCTTTTAAAGCCAAAAGACTCTGTTCCATTTTAAGGAATCATTGTCTGAGTGGGCTGACTAGCTGGCGAGATCTAGATTTGCTGGCTTTGAAAGCACGGGGCTGGCTGCTTGGAGGACCTCTGCTGTCTGAGTGGTTCATAATTATGGAGTGCAGGTGTCTCTGTTGGGGATGTGAGGTCCCTGACTCAAGGCTATGGCATGCGGCTGCCTCATGTCTGAGTCAGTAGTATTTCATTCAGTCGGGTCTGCACTAGTGTTAGCAAGCTAGTGGCCAGGACAGAGTTTACCAATTCATTCAACAAGTTAAATACCTAGACTCTTTACCTGCCCCATCCTCCTTAGACCAAGCTAGGCCACCTGTCATGTGCTCCCATAACACTCTGTATTTACTTTATAAAAGTTTGGTCATCACATTCTAATGCTGTTTAATTGGCTATTTTTCCCACTCTATTACAAGGAGCAGCAAGGCAAGGGCTATATCTATCTTGATCACACTGTATCCCCAGTACCCAGTATAGTGCTGGACCCAAGGTACATATGCAGTAAATATTTTATTTTTTTGCTCCCCCTCCCCATACACAGTGATTTTTTTTTTTGAGAGAGAGAGAGAGAGAGCAGGGAAGAGGGTTAGAGAGAGAGGGAGAAAGTGTCTCAAGCAGACTCCAGGCTGAGCCCCGAGCCCCATGTGGGGCTTGATCTCATGACCCTGAGATCTACGACCTGCGCCGAAACCAAGAGTCAGTTGCTTAACCGGCTGCCCATCTAGGCACCCCTGCAGTGAATATTTTATTCAAAAAATTAATGAGAGTCTATACAAGACACTGCTGAGCAGGGACAAGACACTGCTAAGCAGGGAGATGGAGCAGACTAGAATATAATAAAACCACAATTCAAAGTCTGTAAAGAAACAATATAATAAACAGGGGTGAAGACAATTTTTGTGAGGAGGTGAAGCTTATGCAAACTGGGGGAATTAAATTGTTAAGAAAAAGAATATAAAATATAAATATAAAATTTTATTTAAATACAAAATTAGACAAGAACATCAAATTAAAAATACCTCATCTTGGAAAAGGTTCATAAAATTGAGAGGACTTGAAACTTAAGCTTTGTTTCCTTCACAGTAAATGTATCCCTAGTGATAGGTGGACCAATGTACTAAATACTGTGGAGTCTCTGAAGAGTGATCAGAGATCTCTGCTGAGGATAATCAAAGATTTCACAGAATAGAGAAATTGTGAGCTTGGTCTTACAGACAGAAGCGAGGTAAAGACATTGCAGGTGGAAAAAACATGCTGAAACACACAGGTGAGAAAGACCTAGAGCCTATCCGTGGAATAGTGAGAAGCGCTACTGGCCAGTGTAGGTTTGGGTGGGGAAAGCCTTATGATAGTGACTTTCAAAGTGTGATCCTGGGCCAACAACATCAGCATCACTCAGCTCCAGCTCAGATTTACCCATTTAGAAACTGGAGCTAGTGCAGAGAAATCTATAGTTTGACAAGACCTGTTGGTGATTCTGATGCAGTTAAAGTTTGAAAACCAATGCCTTAAGAAGTTAATTGAGCATCAGATGAAGCTATCCTTACAAATTTAATTTCAGGCTATTATACAAGATGGAGAGAAATGAGAAAAAAAGGATTATGACCGAAAGAATGAGTTCTCTTCATCTCACACCCCAAAATAAATTACAGATAAGTTAAAAAGTTAAAGTGAAAAATGCAACCAGATATTGGATAGAAGAAAAGATTAATTTCACAACAATTTAAAACATTTGTACCATTAATAAAATTGAAAAGTAAACAACAAACTAGAAAGAAATATATGTGACATATATCTCAGGTAAAAAGCTAAAAATTTTAACTTTCCTTTAAAAAGATAAAGAGCCCATAGAAAAGTGGACAAAAGACATAAACTGAAAATTCTCAAGAGAAATACAAGTGGCCAGTAAACACATGAGAAAATATTCAAGTTCACAAAAAACAAATACAAATGAAGATGGAATACTATGTTTTATTTACCAAATTAACAGCATTTTTTTAAAGATAGAAACAACTTATTCATCCACTATTTAACTGTATGGTTGGTCATTTATAGTGGAATTCCAAGGTGCCATTAACATTAATAGCATAAGATATATTCATGCTATATTAAATGTGGGGGAAAAAAGCTGCTACAGAATAACATAACACTAGCCAAACTTTTAAAACCAATTCTAAATGGATATAGATTTTTAAAAAATAATGTACAGCCCTTGAGCAAAATGTTACCATTGGTTAGCTCTAGGTTGTAGGATTATGATAACTTTTTCTTTTGCAATTCATACTTTGCTATTGTCTCCATTGTGTGATAAAGATGTATCCCTTTTCTAATCAGGAAAAAATTGAGCTATACTGCAAGTGTGATAAAAAGTTGGAGAAAATGATGAAGATTTAATACCCCTTCGGTCAAAATTATATTAGAAGACAGCAAACTCTACAACTCGGTACTCTTTTGAGATTTGAGGGTTTCATCCCCGGAGCCACTATCCTCCGTTAAGAGAAAGTAAAGGAAAAGGGGGACGCAAAAATGAAACTGGAAAACTTACTCCAGCTAATCAAAGAACGTCAAGTAGCCTCTGATTTGTGATTATGCTAAAGGATATGTCAACATTGTGATGCTCTTCGTATTTACTTCTCTGGGTAAGGGAAAATAGTGTGGGTTTGTTTAAGTAATGTGCTGGGCTGGTGGGGGGGGGTTTGTTTGCTCTCACTACAGAATGTTTTGAAATAAAACTTCAGCCTAGAATGTAAAGATTTTGTTTGGCACAAGGCTACGCATGAGCAAAACAGTAACTTAAAATGGTCCCATACCACCCCCTTGTGGCTTCCACTGAGTCACATCGGGAAACAGCCCAACCAGCCGAGAGGACGGAACCATGCCTACCATTTTCATAAATTCAACAAACACGTGTCCATTCCCTATTCGGTAGCAGGTGCTAACTATACTAGGATTAAAATATACCACTAAATCTCTTCGTACTTTATTCAGGCCATGCCAGCATTCGTAAACATTCACTTATTTGGGCTGAGTACACACATAGAAGTTGAGGTCATTAAAAACTGAGCATCGCAAACGGGTGTCTCTTTAAGCTTTATCTTCTGGGATAAAGGTGAAGGAATGGGAGTAAGGTCTGCGATTATTACTCTTCAGCGTTTGGTTGGTTGGGTAGCATGCGGTAATCAGAAAAAGCACAGTGGATGTGGATGAAAACACATGGATTGCAGCCCTAACCATCCAAGTGACCTTGAGCACGTGATAATCCACATGGGCCCCATTCATCTATTTAACAATTACTTGAACCCGGGTGCTGAGGTTACAAAAATGAGTATGACCTAGTCTTTTAGACCCTCGCTTTTCTAATTTGTAAATTGGGACTGACAACTTCAATTTACTATCAAAAATTAAACATATACTACCCTTGTACAGAGATGTTCATTTTTGAAACGTGTTCACATATTTATTTATGCTTGTTCAATTTAATCCTCTCCACATCTGCTCATAGGAGCTCTAAATCCTTACAGGAATTAAATAATCTAATCCAATACCCTATAATTTTACATTCAGTCCACCGGGATTTCTTGAATCAAGGAATCCGGCTGAAGCTTAATACCGACTCGCGATCTTCAAGATTCTCACCCTCCTGCACTGTGAACAGCATCGAAGCCCTGCGCAGTTCTTTGGTGGGGCCTCGGTAAAACCCTGACACGGCCGTAGCCCTTTACGTCCCCAGCAAGCAGCGGCCACTCTGGGGGTTGAAATGCCATTTGCCATGCCTAACTCGTGCAAGACGACTCTCGCACGCCCCCTGGAGGAGCCGGGTGGGAAAGGGGCCGCTAGCTTGCTGCGCTTCTCCCACTTCTCGGGAGGCGGGAGGAAGGGCCGAGAGCCCGCAGGGGCGGGGGAGGGGGGAAGTTCCCTCGGCGGCCATGCGGGGAGCAATTCTAGGGAGTAGAATCACCCGCTCGGCTCTGGAGAGGCCTTACCCAGCCCGGAAGAAGCCTGCGGCGGCACAGAGGTGCCGGCAGGAGGCGCGGGCCGCCGGGCCACCCCCGGGGCCAAAGGCCGGTGGTCCCTCCCAGGTCCGGTGTGCGGCGTGGTCGCGCCGCCGGATCCCCTGTCGCCCCCCACTCCCCCCGCCCCCGGCACTCTCACCTCGTCACCTCCCCGCCCAGTCGGCGGGTCCCTGAGGTGCGCGGCGCAGGCGCGGAGCGAGGCGGTGAGTGCGGCTGCCGAGCCTGGGCCTGGGGCCTGGCGGGCAGGGCGTGAGGCGCGCGGGAGGGAGAAGGGCCGGCCCCGGGGGAGCGCCCAGGAGCGCGAGGGCCACAGCGGCGCCGCCCGCCGGCACTCGGGCGCCTCGGCTGCCCCCGCCTCGGAGCTGTGCCTGGGCTGGCCGGGCGGGCCCCGGGGTCCGGGTGAGTGTGAGGGAGGAGCGGGCCGGTGGCGTGCGGACGCAGCCTCCCATGGGAGAGGGCAGGGAAGACCCGACGGCGTCTTTTAAAATGAAACCCTGCCTCCGTTTTATGGCGGGATAGCGGCCCCTCCCCCATCCCGGAGGCAGTTCCACCCCCTGCGGAGGACGTCTCGGGCCCCTGCTGCTGTTTTCCTTATGGCGCCTTTGGGGTCGGAGTTTGGGCGTCCCCGCAGGTCCCCTGGCCCTGTTGGGCCCGGCGCGTGGCGCGGGCGTGGAGGCTGCTGGGTCCAGGGGGCTCCCGCGCGGCCCCTCTGACCGGCGTGTCCGGTGGCGGCTGGGCTCTCGACGCCCGTCGGTGCCAGGCTGGCCCCCGGCGGTGCGGAGCGGCTTTGGAACCCCCTGGCAGCGCATCCCTTGTTCGCCCGCGAGCCACCGCCGCAGAAAGCAGGCGTCCGTCCTGGCGCTCTCGTCTCCGGCCAGTGGCCTGGGCCCCTCCATAGGGTGCTCATATACCCCTTTTGGTTTTTCTTTTTCAGTACAACCTAGGGACGCGAGTAATATGAAGCAGTTTATCTCTTTGCAAAGAGGTAAAAATTTGTACTTAAGCAAAGACTGACACTCAAGTTGGACGTACCGTGGGTTCTAGTTCAAAAACTCTCCTGAAACATTTTTTTTGTGTTTCAATTCTTTTAAAGTCTGGAGAGTATTATACTTATTTGAAATGAGTGTGAAAAAGAACTTGCTTTTAAAACCTTATTGTAAAAATGGAGCTTTTGATTATACTTGCCTTATTTTTATACCAGTTAGACGATATTTATATTACATGAAAGGCCTTAGATGTTGATCTATTTGATATAGGTACTGATTGCTTGTTATATGGCATTTTGTAGACATTCTTGTTGAAAAAAATGACAGGTGGAAAGATGCTGATATGTATTTTGTAAGTTGCTTTTTAAAAAAATTTTAATGTTTCATGTGGCATGATGTCATTTTTGTAAATGTAAAATATATATGTGTACCTTAGCATAGGAGAATGTCTAGATGTCTATATACCAAAATGTTAACAGCGGTTTTTCTGGGTGAATAGATTGAAGGTGATTTAATTAATTTAAATTAATTTCTAACCTTTTTTCTAATTTTCCTGCGGTGATATGTATTACGTTAGTAGTTAAGTGGGGAAGAGGGAGTGAATGATAAGGTGCATGTGATTCAGAATCGTCCCCATGAGAGGAAGACTAGTTAGCAATGTTCGTATGACATCTTTGAGTAAAAAGCCAGACTTCATCAGGGCAGTTATGTATACAAAAAGCACATAAGAATATTTGCTGAAATGAAGGATGGTTAGCATTTCTGGTCTTGAGTAAGCATTTTAGCATCATGCTGAAAGGGTGTCTGATAAATGTTTGGATATTGTTCATCTCTAAGTAGGAGTCAGACCTTTCCTAATCAAAGTGATCTATTCCTTTCACCTGACAGTCTGAATCCAGGCCAGCTTGCAATGTTAATTTTAATGCCATGTATGGTTTCCTTTCCTTACTTTTTGATTCTTCAAGTTGGAAAGAATTTAAAGTATATTCTGAAATAGCAAGAGGCTACTTTAATGTTTGGCTGATAGTTTCCATTGTTCTCCTTGATAGTTTTAGAATATTTAAAACATGAAGTGTAGTGCTCTGGGCTGTATAAGTTCTGGAAGTGTACAGAAGAGGTATTAGGAATAAGTCTTGAGATTTTAGTTTATTACATAATAAGAAATTTTTGATTTTTGAGTGCACTTGCTTGGGAAGGGTTCAAGGAATGCTATTTGTGTTAGGTAAGGCATTATATAGAGAGATGCTATTTCTATAAATCTCATTGCTGTTGGTTTCTTTGGATGATTCCCTTCCCTTCCCTTCCTCCCATTTGGTGACTAAGAACTGGAAGATGTAACTTGCTGGTAATAGTGAATAGCAATGAAAATTACACAGAGTTAGTTGCTCAAAACTCAAGAGTCAGAAGACACGATTTTTCAGCTCTGGTTCTGCCACTTAGTTGAGTTGACTTTCACTGAATGCTTCCTCATCAGTAAAATTGGAGTGAGTTTGGTGGTATCCCCTCTATGTACCTCACAGGATTGTTGTGAAATAAAATAAGAGGAAAATGCTCAATAAACTAAAAAGCACTATCTTATTACTGGATAATCACATCACCTGTAGTGCTAATTTATATATCCAGAACTTAGTGAAGCACCAAAGACCGTGTGTGCACCTCAGGTGCCTTACCATTAGAAACAAGATGATCTCAGTAATGATACCAAGTTCTACCTGCTATGTATATCACTTTGACAAAAAAGAAAAGTAGCATAGAAAGCTCGTGGAGAAAATGTCCGTTTCTTTTTCTGACTTGCCCACTTCTGCAATGAAAGAACACTAACCTGGGACACCTGGGTGGCTCAGTTGGTTAAGCAGCTGCCTTCAGCCCGGGTCATGATCCCAGGGTCCTGGGATCGAGTCCCAGATCGGTCTCCTTGCTCAGCAGGGAGCCTGCTTCTCCCTCTCTCTCCCTCTGCTTGTGCTCTCTCTGTCAAATAAATAAAAAATCCTTATAAAAAAAAAAGAACACTAACCTGAAATGAAAGAGGTGATTCTGATTCTGACACTAATCTGTTACTTCAATTGGGGTGATCACTTTATCTCCCTATTTGTTTCCAAAGCATGTGCTTTAAAATTAGATCTTTATTCAAATTCCAACTCTACCACTTATTAAGAATTGCCTTGACTTAATTTTACTATGCCTCAGTTTCCTCATCAATAACAAAGGGTAAATAATCATTTTGAGACAGTGTTGTATATTTTTCATCTTACAGGATTAAATAAGATAAATTATGTGTACAGCCTGGCACATGATTGGTGTTCAATAAATGGTCATTGTCCTTTATATTGTTAAATAATCTATAAGGACTTAAACAGTTTGAAGTCTAATTTGGTTTGCTTTCATTGTATTTGTTTTCATTATGGCTGAATAAGCAGATTTATATTCCTGTTTTGGTGTTAAAATATACCTGTAGCTTTAGAAGGTAAATTCATTTCAAAGAAATGACACATGCATATACATATTTATATGTGTATGTATGTATTTATATGTGTGTATTATATGTATATTATGTATATATGCATATATAAATGTGTGTATACCTATAAATATACATATATACATAAGATGTAAATTATATACATATAATAACATACACATGTGTTATACATATATATGTATATACATATATAAAGAAATGACATGTATTTTTGTATGTATACATATTTATCAGTTTTCAGTATTTAATACAGTATATTCAAAAGATTATTTATACTTGAATTAATTCCATATAACTTTGCAGTTAATTAAAGATCTGGTGCCATTGTATTCTTTTTTTTTTTTTTAAGATTTTATTTATTTGAGAGAGAGAGAATGGGAGATAGAGAGCACGAGAGGGAAGAGGGTCAGAGGGAGAAGCAGACTCCCCGCTGAGCAGGGAGCCCGATGTGGGACTC